AACTCGCTTTAAAATTGCACTCGGTATGGAATGTTAGTGAGAGTGATATGCTTTCCTAATCCGACTACATGTAAAGCATTACCTAGGTGACATTAACGTTTCGTACTGATATCGATGAGTCTGCATTAAACGTTGGTTTATGCTTTAGATTATTGTGATTGAAAAATTCGTCGTGACCAGTAATTTATGAAATCTCTATTAATTGATGTGGTGTTTAAATTCTGACATTATACAATATGTCTAGAGTTAGAAATAGATGTTCTATCAACATTAAATATTTCTGTAAGTGATTGCGTTTTGTTTAGAGCAATGAACCTTTTCCATATTATAATAAAATCAATAGAAATAATTTTCTCCGAATTTATTATTATTAAATAAATTCAAATGTAAAGATTTTGATTTTATTACAACTACATTCCGTTGAGGTTAGGTAAGGTTGAAATGGCGTTTGCTAATATAACTGTTAGTACTTCCACTCTTACATATTTATTGCCCATTGATGTCTTCAAAGTTATCTGAGAGAGATGAGATTCACTAACCATGGTTGTCTCCATGTATTTTCCTTGTTAAAAATGGAGTCTGTCAGATAATATTATGGAAATTCGACAACACAACAGCTTGATCTATATTACTAGACAAAGTCATGAAAAATATTTGATGGGATGTCTTTCTTCTTCATGGTGGTAACTTTTGCTTCGGTTGGTGAAAGCATTGATACAACGGCACAGTGTTAAGTTAGTATTCCAGTAAGTATATGAACTGCGACCTTGGTAAAATCCAAAAGGCTTTTCATTTTATTCATTTGTAACCTTGGCTATAATGTCTTAAATACTTGTCAATCTTCAGGTTTATACCACAAGTCATTTATCTCTTTAAGGCGTTGAACTTTTACACTTTTTAAATCAATAAAAATATATATTTCTGGAATATATAGTTTTTCAAATATTACAATATTTAATTAGTTGCAATTACATATATAGACAATTATAAATTAAATACTTTAATTTTGAAGTCTTATAATTTTAACTGTCATATTCTTTGCAATTACAAATAAACAATAAAAATATGTTTTTATTATAATATATAATAATTAAGTTTATTTTAAATTTCAGTTGCTCTAGTGTTTTAATTGATTGGATTGCATTATAGCTAAAAAATAAAGATTGTATATATTATATTTTTTGAAAGAACAGTCCTAGTGCCAAAAAACAAACTATTTGATTAACAGTTCTTGAGTTCTGAAGTAACTTATTTAGGTGTAGATATTAACAAATTAAAAACATCCTTAATTTCAAAAAATGAAATTTGCATTATTAATTTATCTATTATTAATTTTAACTTACACTCAAAAGTATCTTTACAACTGTTACTTCAAAGTTGCAGTACATCTTGTCTTTAATATTTACATTTCATTGAAACCATTTTGATTTTTAATAATAATTTTTAAAATATAAAATAAAAGTAACATTTTAACTTTTTGTAGGTTGATATGTTTGTCAGCTAATATCCGTTATCAGAAATTACACTACAGTGCCACATCTCAAATTCGAAAACAGATAAAGAATATAAATGTTTTAATATTTTAAAACTGCTAATCTATTCTAGTCCTAGCATCTGGTTTAAATATGACTTTGAATATTGAGACTGGTACAGTATTGCATTCGACCTTAATAGAGGGCTGTAAACTAATTCCTAGTCCTGCAACTTCTCCAAGTGATTTTCTCGATAACGAAAACAGGTAAATAT